AGAAGCGAATAAGGTGGTAAAAGCCTGCCTACCGTGTTATAGATTCCGACCGACTTTTCCTGACGTAAAAATGGGAGATTTACCGACGCAGCGAGTCCATGGATTTACACGACCGTTCGCAGCATCCGGGATAGATTATGCCGGTCCCCTGTAAATTAGAGAAAGCAGACGCCGAGGAAGAGTTCACGTATCAAAGGGCTATGTCGCGGTTTTTACTTGTCTCAGCACGAAAGCTGTACACCTGGAGCTGGTAACGGAGCTTACAACTGAAGCTTTCTTGGCAGCCCTGAGTAGATTCACTGCCCGGCGCGGCGTTTGTTCACAGCTCTTCTCCGACAACGCGACAAATTTTGTCGGTGCTGCTCGCGAACTGAAAGAGATATACGAGTTTTTGGAGAAAGAGAAGACTGAGATCGAGACCACTCTCGCAAATCAACGCGTGCAATGGAACTTCATCCCTCCGCGAGCTCCGAACTTCGGGGGTTTATGGGAGGCGGCGGTGAAGGTTGCGAAGCGACATCTTAACACGATCACAAGAGGCCGGACACTCACGTATGAGGAATACAATACTCTGTTAACGGAAATTGAAGCGATCATGAATTCCAGACCGCTGACTCCGCTTTCTAGCGACCCAGCTGATTTAGCTGTCCTCACCCCTTCCCATTTCCTCATTGGCGATTCCATGATCCAACCGGTACAACGTGATCTTTCGGAGGTTCCAGACAACCGACTGTCCCGCTGGCAGCATCTGCAAAAGCTTCGCCAAACCTTTTGGCATCGATGGCAGACAGAGTACTTGCAGGAGCAGCAGAAACGAAGCAAATGGACCAACGACGGGAAGAACATCGAGCTGGACACGCTAGTGTTGCTCGAAGAGGACAACCTATCGCCTCTTCAGTGGGCTATAGGCAGAATTATCGAGCTGTTTCCAGGACCCGACGGCGTTGTTCGCGTCGTCACTGTACGTACACAGAGGGGGACTTTTAAGCGAGCCGTACGCAATCTCTGCCCGCTTCCAAGGGATGATTGCGCAATCGACTTCTGATCCAGCTACCAGCCGAATGTGGGACACCGCAGTCGACGACTTGCTTTCGTCAGGATAGTAGAACATAATGAACCCTGGCAGTTTATTTAAGATTACGGTACCAGCGACTTAGATTCTTTCATTCAACGTAATCAAACCAGTATTTGTTTAATTTAAGTGTAGTTACAGCCAAGGCCAAGCTTCATTTAAACGTTAACGAGAGCCGAAATCTGTGCTTATATTCTTTATTTGTTTCCACTTATTACGCTACTGTTATTCTTTTTATTCTTTACAAGCTATATTGCATTATATTCATTCATTGAAATGGTCTTTCAAGGGAGGCGGAATGTTCATAGTTATAAGTATATTAAAACTGTGATATATTGGTAGCCGTGTAAGAGCTGCGGGAGCGCGAGGCACTGTCCGCGAGGCGCTGTAATCTAGTAGTATGTAATGGCGGAAGAGAAGAGTGAACACGGACTATCTCCGCCAGTCTCGTCATTAAAAGTGATAGTACACAAGTATCTACAATTTCCTTTACTCAACCCCTAAACAAAGTCTATGTTGCATATGTGCAATGTAGTCGCTTTTCGCAAAGTCAATACTATTACAGGTCTGAATGTCATTTATTGGCAATACATAAATCCTTTTCGAGGATATAATGATATATATATTGCATACATATAACGACAGCGACTTTTTGCTGACTTATAAAAAGATAAAATGTAATTATCTATAATACATACATATACATATGTATAGTAATTCTACATGAATTTATACAGGGTGAGTCACAACATTTGTGACAACGCTCGTGAGAAGGTAGAATGGATCGAGATGAACAGAAAAGTCCTGTACCATTTGCAATTTTCGCAATACGAGTAATTAATTATTAAAAATCGTCGACTTTGCCGTGCCCACCGCTCAATTCGAACGCGTGGCAAGATGTGACCGCCCGGCGATCGATATTGCCAGGCGAGGGGCGGGGGGGGGACGCGAGACGCGGGAGCGGCGACGTAAGCTCGCCGGCAACGCGTTGCAACGGCGCGCTGTCCTCCCCCCCAACAGCAACACGTCGTAGCCAAGCGTCGAGCGCACACGTTTTTACGACGTGTTGCTTGTGTGCGAGCGTGCGCGCGCAGGCGTGGCCAGACGGATTATCCCCACTCTACCTCCACCGCCGCTGCAGCGACCGTGCTAACGTTCTCGGCTGGCATCACTGGTCCTCCCCCCCCTCGCTAGGCAATATCGATCGCCGTGCGGTCACATCTCGCCACGCGCTCGAATTGGGCGGTGGGCACGGCAAAGTCGACGATTTCTCGTATTGCGAAAATTGCAAATAGTACAGGACTTTTCTGTTCATCTCGATCCGTTCTACCTTCTCACGAGCGTTGTCACAAATGTTGTGACTCATCCTGTATACATGCAATATCGCGAAAGTGTAAAGCATATATTATAATGTATATACATACACTTATGTACATACGCAATTACGGTGCCTATGATTTTACATATTGAGAATATACAGAGTGTCACATTTTAAATAATCCAGGAAAAATCTACAAAAATATGAAAGATACAGGAAAACGTTTCAAACAAAAGTTGTTTTGTTTGAAGAGGGACATAAATTTAGTGCCAGTGATTTGACCTTGGAAAATTGTTTGGACGTAACATATAGATCACCACCAATTTTTTAAATAGAATCTACTACTTTTTATTATATCATCGTTTTATATTGACGATTTTCAACAACTTTCGTTTGAAACATTTATTATTTGCACAATACTTTTTAAGATATTTAAAGAAAACTTGGTAACTTTTTCAATATTTAACTCACGACACCTTCATAACTATTTGTCGGGGGAAAAGTGCTACAGGACTTTTTGTCTTGATTTGGTTTGAAGAATTTACTGTTACAATAGCGCCAAAAATATTTGGTAGCTCTAAGGAGATTTCAAAGTAATAAAGTTAAAAAAGTTTGTGGTGCTATTGCAATGGCATATTCTTGAGACCAAGAAGTCCTGCACTTTTTCTCCGACAAATAGTTATCAAGTTATCACGAGATAATGAAAAAGTTACCAAGTTTTCTAAATATGTCAAAAAGTATTGGGCAAATAAACAATGTTTCAGACTAAAGCTGTTCAAAATCATCAATATAAAACGATGATATAATAAAAAGTAGTAAATTCTATAAGAAATTGGAGGTAATCTTTATGTGACGTTCAAACAATTATCCGAGGTCATATCACTGACACCAAATTTATGTCCCCCTTCGAACAAAACTTGTCTGAAACGATTTCCCATATCTTTCATATTTTTTGAGATACTTG